ATCTGCCAGAGGACGAGGTGAAACTTCAGAGGAAGAGAAACTCACTCAGAGCTGTTAGAATTTTTCATACACAATGTCAAACATTCAATCAAGAATTACAGTCATGCCAAGAGACAAATAGACAATAGAAATAGACCCAGAGATGATCCAGTGTTGAAGTTATCAGACACAGATTTTTAAAATAATTTTGATGAATATGTGTGAAAAAATAGGTGTAATGATGGAGAATTTTATCAAAAAACTGAAATACATAAAGAAACAAGTAGAAATTCTAGGACTGAGAAAATGTAACAATAGTATTTATGAACCAACAGATGGGTTTAATAAGAGAATGGACAGCAGAGAGAGGATTAGTGAACTGGAAGCTGTGAAGCATATGGGATGACGCTGCAGAGTAAAAAGGAGGGAACATAACTGAATATGTGATAGAACGTGGTAAAGAGATTTCACATTTTTTTGGTCATTGGAGTCCCATATAGGAGGAAAGAGAGAATGGGGGAATATCTGAAGAGATAATGCTAAAGAATTTTCCAAAACTAAGAGTCAAACTTCATATCCAAGTAATAATATAAGCCTTAAGAGAATAAATACTAAAAAATCCACACCTGGGTGCATCATAATGAAACTGATGAAGACCAAAGATAAAGACAAATTGTTGAAAACAACCAGAGGAACAAGAAACATCAACTTCAAAGTTGCAGCAATAAGACTTAGAGCAGATATCCCAACGGAAATGAAAAGCAAGAAGGTCATGGAATGGCATCTTTAAGGGTCTGAAAGAAAAGAACTGCAGACCTGGAATTCCAGTCCACTGAGAGTACCGTTCAGAGATGAAGGCGAAACAGAACATCACCAGACAAACCAAAACCAAGCACATTCAGCACCAGAGGACCCACTCTGAAGAAAATATTAAAGGGAATTTTTCAGGCAGGATGACCGAAGGATAGAAATGCAGGAAGAATTGGGGAGAATCCGAAAGGATAAATAAAAGGACAAACAGAAGTGAAAATTGACCTATATTTACATTCACAGTATTATGATGATATCTATCACAATTATAATTTCTTATGGGGGGTCTAAACTATAAGTAGAAATAAAATGCATCACAACATTAACAGAAAAAAGTGGGAAGGATAAATGGAGTTAAAGTATTCTGAGGTCTTAGCATGGCTTTGGAAGAGGTGAAAGTACTAAGTGTGCATGAATCACCCAAGAATGCATTCTCTAATCTCTAGGGTGACCACTGAAAGAAGGGTAAAAGCCATGTATAACTTATAATAAATAAAAAAGGGAAAATGAATATAAAAATACTGATTAATCCAAAGTAGTCAGGAAATAATTTTTAAAAAGAATGTATTGGGACAAATAGAAAACATATAATCAGATGGTGGATATAAACCCAATTGTCAATAATTAAATTAAATGTAAAGTACTAGATATTCCAATTTACAAATAAAGATTGTTAGTCTGGATTAAAATAAAACAGAAAACCTGTGTGCTGCCTTCAAGAGCTAGATCCTAACTATAAGAGCACAGAAAGGTTGGAAGTAAAAAGCTGGAAAAGGATACATCATGGAAACACTAACTGAAAACAGCTGATGTGGCTTATTAATACCAGATAAAGTAGATTTTAAAGCAAGAAGCATTATTTGAGATAAAGACATTTCATAAAGCTGAAAGAGTCAACCCACCAGGAAGCTATAACAATTCTAAACATGTATGCACCTGATAACATAGCTTAAAACATAGAAATTAAAAATTGACAGAACTAAAAGTAGAAATAGAGAAAGGTAAAAATAATAGTTGGGGACCTTAATACACCTCTCTCAATAATTGATAGAAAAGGAGACAAAAATAATCTCAGAATGGGAAAGGCTATTCTAAGTTTGGAGTAAAACATTGAAGCTATAAAAAAAAAAAAGACTGGTAAATTTAATTACATAAATTCTTAAAAATTGCATGGGATAAAACATCATAAACAAAGTAAAAGACAAACAAAAATATGAGAAACATATTTGTCATGCACATCACAGAGAAAGAGCTAACTGATACCCACAGAATTCCTACAAGTTGCTAATAAATGCCAACAACATAACAGAAGATGAGCAAAGGATACAGAGAGAAAACTGACAGAGAAAGAAATAGGAAAGGTTCTTAAATGTGAACGTATGCTCAACCCCACTCAAAATGAGAGAAAACAAATTTAATGACCATGCAATGTCATTTTTCACATATCAAACAGGAAAAGATGAAAATCGTTGATGCTGCAGACATGGTTTGGGCAGGGAGTGGGCAGGTCAGGACTGTTGGCCTGCTGTGGGATGTGGTTGCTTCCACAGCTTTGGAGGGCAGTTTGCTACTAGGTGTCAGAATTTAAAACCTTATACCTTTGCATCAGAGTCATTAGGCATTTATCCTACAGGTGTTCCTGAAGAGGCACAAGGTCTGTGCAAATGCATCATAGCGGTGAGCTTGTTCAACAGCCAGTGACACAGACCACAAGAGACAGACACTAAGTGGCCCATGCCCCCCACCTCCTGGTGTCCATTCACCATATGGTCCCTGCCACTTGAGTGGGGTCAGGACCCATGACATGCTTATAGGCACAAAGAATGCAGCAAGGTGAAGGGATGTGCATGATTACATTATGTAAGATTGTAATGCTGGTCTGGGGAGGAGACTCTCTCCCCCATTCTGGCTGTGAAGGAGCCAGCTGTCCCATGCGAGCTGCCCATGGAGAGGGCCACATGGCAAAGAAGTGAGGGTGGGCTCCAGTAGACAGCCGGCAAGAAACTGAGGCATCAGTCAGACCACCTGCAAGGAACTGAATTCTGACAAGAACCACATGAGCTTGGAAGTGAGTCCTTCCCCAGTCGAGCCTTCAGATGAGACCCAGTGATGTGGCCCCACAGAGAACCCAGTTCTGCTGCACCTGAGCTCCTGGCTCAGAAACTGTGAGACAACAGATGTGTGTTGTTTTAAGCCACTAAGCTTGTGGTCATTTGTTACACAGCAAAAGAAACCAACACACAGACCAATGTGGAATTCTACGCAGCTGTAAATAAGAAAGAGCCATCTGTATGTATTCATAGGAAAGGAACTCCACATTATATTATGTTTAAAAAAAAAAACCCTAGTGGTAGAATATAATTTGTATTTTAAAAATTTATACACACAAAGACATTACATATGTATATACACATATAGAGAATAGATGATAGGTAGATAGATAGATGATAGATAGATGGATAGATAGATAGATAGAAAGATATACACAGTCAGTCCTCATTATTCATAGATTCCTTATTTGCAAACTCACTTACAAAATTTATTTGTAGCCTCAAAACCAATACTCGCAGTGCTCACGTGGTCATTTGTGGACATGTGCAGAGCAGCCGAAAATCTGAACCCCCTAAGGCCCATGTTCCCAGCTGAGGTGGAGCAAGGAGGAGTGGAACTCTGCCTTCTTGTTTCAGCTCTGCCTGTAAATATGTCCTTTGCACGGTCTCTTTAGTGCCACATTTTACACGTTTTGGGGCTTTATGCTTCTGACTTTGCCGGTTAAAACGTCCCCCAAACAGAGCTGAGTCGCCGTCTAGTGTTCCTGAGCACGAGAAGGCTGTGATGTGCCTTACGGAGAAAATACGTTAGATAAGCCTCATTCAGGAGTGAGTTATAGTGCTGTTGGCTGTGAGTCCTGTGTTAAACAAGATGAGCATCAAATATATATTAAACAAGATGTCTTTAAAGAGAAACACACATCAAGTGAGGTTGCATATGGATCAGTTGAGGAAAATGTGCCCAGAGGCTGGCGAGAACCCAACCCTGTATTTCCCCTAGAGCCGCTGGGTCTGTGTTCACCTAGTCAGTGTCTGTGCTAACTTTATAGAACATTACTGCGAATGATGAGAATGGACGCTGTGTGTGTGTGTGTGTGTGTGCGCAGAGAGAGACAGAACCAGAGACAGTAAGAGAGGGGGAGAGAGAGAGGGAGAGACACACAGAGAGAGGCACAGAGACAGAGAGAGAGAAGATAAATGGGTGGAAGTAGCTGATTGCTGAGAGGGCACGTGGGTGCTGGCAGACGGAAGCGAGGGAGACCTCTCCATGGCTGCATTTCCTGTCTCTTTGTTCTGTTCTGTGGCCCCGTGCTACTTAGTGACCTGTAGGTTGTCTGGTGTCATGTGGGGGAGGCAGGTTGCGTATCAGGCCAGCAGAAGGGCTGGGTGAAGGCCGATGGGGGCTGTCTCAGAGAAGCTGGGCTGTCCGAACAGAGAAGGCTCCCGGGAGGGAGATGAGGGCTGTGACAACTCTGTGGTCCAGCCCTGGTGCTCCGCTTGGCTCACCAGTGGGAACCAGGCGCCCAGGAAGCTGTCACCATCCTGCGGGGAAGGGAACCACACGATTTGCCCTAGAACACAAAGTCCTGTGGTCTCCCCAGCTCAAGGACAGGTAGGAGGTGGACGCACAGACAGGGGGCATCGGACAGGCGCTTTGGCGATGAGCCCTCGGGCCAAGAGGTCCAGGTCCTGTCACAGCCGTGCGGCCCTAGGAGAACAGTGAATGCCCCTGGCCTCAGGTTCCTCCCTCACAAGGCGGCAACAGTCCTGCGGCTCCATGGGATGAGGCGCTTGAGCTGTAGGGAGACATGGCCTCATGCCAGTTGCCTGCAAAGCAAGGACGCCCCGGGGCTGCGCTAGCTGGTGACTGGATGAGGTCCCGCACACCCAGGATGGCCCCAGGCACCATCACCCACCCAACATCCACCCACTCTGCCCCCAGGACCTGGGCCAGGACCCCGCCCATCCCTGCTTCTGCCCCCCTGGGAGCACAATGGGACCGACTCCTGAGCCAGACAATCCCAGGAGATTTATGAGCTGGACAACATCACAGGCAAACAAACATCCCTAATGCCGGCCTGGGAGCCCAAACCGGAAGCTTGTGGGCCTGGACACAAGAGCCAGGAGGGGTATAAAAGCCCACAGCCCTGAGCACCGCACACACACTCACTCACACACTCACACTCACACTCACACCCTCCTCCAGCCCCACCGCCCCACCATGGCCGCCTCCACCCTGTCCGTCTGCTCCAGCGACCTGAGCTACGGCAGCCGGGTCTGCCAGCCCGGGTCCTGGGACTCCTGCCCCGGCTCCTCCTGGCAGGTGGACGACTGCCCAGAGAGCTGCTGCGAGCCCCCCTGCTGCGCCCCCAGCTGCTGCGCCCCGGCCCCCTGCCTGACGCTCCTCTGCACCCCAGCCAGCTGTGTGTGCAGCCCCTGCCAGTCAGCCTGCACCAGCTCCTGCACGCCCTCCTGCTGCCAGCAGTCTAGCTGCCAGCCCTCCTGCTGCACCTCCTCCCCCTGCCAGCCGTCCTGCTGTGTGCCTGTCTCCTGCACACCTGTCTCCTGCACACCTGTCTGCTCCACACCCGTCTGCTCCATACCTGTCTCCTGCACATCCATCTCCTGCACACCTGTCTGCTGCAAGCCCGTGTGCCGTGTGCCCATCTGCTCTGGGGCCTCCCCCTGCTCAGACCCCTCCTGCTGCCAGCAGTCTAGCTGCCAGCCCTCCTGCTGCACCTCCTCCCCCTGCCAGCAGTCCTGCTGTGTGCCCGTCTGCTGCACACCCATCTGCTCCACACCTGTCTCCTGCACACCCATCTCCTGCACACCTGTCTCCTGCACACCCGTCTCCTGCACACCTGTCTGCTGCAAGCCTGTGTGCCATGTGCCCGTCTGCTCTGGGGCCTCCCCCTGCCCAGCCCCCTCATGCTGCCAGCAGTCTAGCTGCCAGCCCTCCTGCTGCACCTCCTCCCCCTGCCAGCAGGACTGCTGTGTGCCCGTCTCCTGCACACCCGTCTGCTCTGGGGCCGCCCTCTGCCCAGCCCCCTCGTGCGGCCAGCCCACCCCCTGCCCCTCATCCTGCTGCAGACCCTCCTCCTGCGTGTCCCTCATCTGCCGCCCCGTGTGCAGGCCCGCCTGCTGCGTGCCCGTCTCCTCCTGCTGTGCCCCCGCCTCCTGCCAGCCCAGCTGCTGCCGCCGGGCCTCCTGCGTGTCCCTGCTCTGCCGCCCCGTGTGCTCCCTCGCGGCCTGCTGTGGCCCCGCCTCGGCCCAGAAGTCCTGCTGCTGACCAGGCACGGCCCTCAGCGCCAGCCGGGCTCCATGTCCCCACCGTGACTGTGGCCCTCCCAGCCCCCTCAGTCCAGTCCTGACCTGTTAGGTCGCTGCCTCCACCAGGACAGGGTCCCCCATGTGTCCACTGTCATGACCTGACCTCCGCCTCCGAGGAACCCCTGACCTCACTGCTGCTCCAGTTCCTGCCTCCAGGAGGCGCCCCCACCTGCCTCTGGGTCAGCTGTCCTCTCCCAGTTTCTCTGCTCGGGTCAGACTCTGCTTGTCGACTTCCACCCTGTCAGCACCTCCTTGGGCCCCCCAGTAAACTCACCTCATCGCCTGATCCGCTTCTGTCATCCGACTCGGGGGGTGGAGGAGGGGACACGGTTTTGACCAGACACTGGTCTCCTCCAGGCACGAATATCTGTAGGAAAGAGTGACTGAGGAACCCCAAAGGGCAGTGGCCTCCCTCCTCTGGGCAGGGTCACCAGGTGGGACTCACGCCCTCGCCCAGGAAGGTCAGAACCTGCTCAGGCCTGTGCCCAGAGTCTGGTCACCTGCAGACATGGTCTGGGGGTTCTCAGGTCCCCTGACCATTTCCACCCACTGTCCCATCTGGGTTAACCAGACCCCCAGGGTCACCCACCAGGAAGCCAGCCTGGGGGTTCCATACAGCACAGCCTCTACAGGGTCTGGGGTCAGCCTCATGGTCCACCAGCGTGTTGCACCCATTTAGCAGAGACGTGATGGAAGGAGACAGGAGCCGCTCCAAGTTCACAGGAGTTGAACGGCTAGACGTGAGAACAAAAGATTAGGGGTCGGTGGCAGGACCTACAGGGTGCCGTGTCCTGCGCCTGCCTCGAAGGCCCCCTCTGGTGGGTCTAGATTCCATCTGGGAGGGTGAGGGACACGGGAGTCACTGCTGCAGGGCCTCCCCTGTGACCTGAGCGCTCTGTCAGGCCTGGACGTACCAAAGGGCCGTGGACAGCAGCCCCCTCTGACGTGAGGACGACGTTGGCACCACGTGGGGGCACAGGTGGACACAGGCAGGAATCTCCCAGGAAGATCACCCACGAGGAGGGTGGCCAGAACTGTTGCAGGAAGTGGAAGACTGTCCCCAGCCCGTAAGGGGTCAGACAATGTTCAGCCCTTCCCGAGCCCGCCATGGGCTAGGCGCCCCCTCCTGCCCGTGAGCCCCTCCCTCTTCCTGAGGCCTGTGTCCCTGGCCAGAACTCACGACGGGAGGCCCCCGTCCCCTGAGGGTCTCAGCCTTCTCCCCTGAACCCCAGGCCCCTCCCACCCCATGCTGCATGCCCCACCTGCTGCATATTCCTTCCCCCAAATTCCACCTTCCCCCTCTAACCAATCTTTCACCCATCACTTCCGTTTAAAATCGGCTTTGTCAAGGACAGTTTACATGTAATCAACTCACCCAATTTAATTGTACAGTTTGATGAGGTTGAAAAAGGTCTACATCCTGCAGCCTCCACCTATGTCAAGACATATAACACTTCCATCATGCCAAAGCTTTCCTACCATCCATTCCCAGTCACCACCTCCACCCACGGCCCCTCGACCACTGCCCTGCTGGGTTCCTGCAGATGGGTCTTTTCTCCAGCATCACACGACAGGAATCCCACAGCATGTACTCTCGGTGTTTGGCTTCGTGTGCTTGGCTCTTTTTGTTGTATATATCAGTAGTTAATTCCTTTTTAATTGCTGAGTAGTATTTCATTGAATGGATATACCACAGCTGTTGACCCATTCACCTGTTGAGTAGATTTGGGTTGTCTCCAGGCTTTGTGATTATGAACCAAGCCACTGTCGACACCTGCACTCAGCATGTTTTCATTTCTCCTGGGTAAATACTGAGGGGTAGGACTGCTGCACCATGTGGTAAGTGTAGCGTGTGTAGGGTTATTTGCGTCTCCCTGATGGATAATGATGGGATCATCGTCTCCTGTGCTCATTTGCCGCTTGTGTATCTTCTTCAGTGAAGTGTCTGTTCAAAACCTCTGCTCATTTTCATCAAATCAGATTGTGTTATTATTATTAAATTGTCAGTGTTCTTTACATATTCTGGATATGTCATTTATCATATACATGCATTGCAAATCTTTTCATCTGTGGTGAGCCTTTTCATTTTCCTAACAGTGCTTTTTCTTTTTCTTTTTTTTTTTTTTGAAGATTGGCCCTGAACTGACATCTTTTGCCAATCTTCCTCTTTTTTCTTTCTTCTCCCCAAAGCCCCCAGTACATAGTTGTATATCCTAATTGTAGGTCCTTCTAGTTCCTCTATGTGGGATGCCACCTCAGCATGGCTTGATGAGCGGTGAGTATGTCTGCTCCCAGGATCTGAACTGGTGAACCCCGGGCCGCAGAAGCAGAACGCACAAATTTAACCACAATGCTACCAGGCCAGCCCCACTAACAGTGCTTTTGTTTTTTGTGAGGAAGATCAGCCCTGAGCTAACATCCATGCTAATCCTCCTCTTTTTACTGAGGAAGACCAGCTCTGAGCTAACATCTATTGCCAATCCTGCTCCTTTTTTTTTCTCCCCCCAAAGCCCCAGTAGATAGTTGTATGTTGTAGTTGCACATCCTTCTAGTTGTTGTATGTGGGACGCCGCCTCAGCATGGCCGGAGAAGCGGTGCGTGGGTGCACGCCTGGGATCCGAACCCGGGCCGCCAGTAGCGGAGCACGCTCACTTAACCGCTAAGCCACAGGGCCGGCCCCCTAACAGTGCTTTTTGAAGAGCTGACATTTTTAATTTTGAACAATTCCAATTTATCAATTTTTTTTCCAATGGTATAAGAAATCTTTGCCTAAACCCAAGGTCACACAGATTTTGCCCTATGCTTACTTCTAAATATTTTATGATTTTAACTTTATGTTTAGTTCTAGAATCCATTTCAAGTTAATTTTTGAATATATTGTGAGTTGTTCCAGCATCGTTTGTTAGAAGACTATCCTTTCTACACTGAATTACCCTTGCGAAAAAATCTATTGACCTTGTATGTGTGGATCTATTTCTGGACTCTCTATTCTGTTCCATTCTTCCATGTTTATTATTAACCAATAACACACTGTCTTGGTCAATGTGGCTTTAAATTAAGTCTTGAAATCAAGCAATGTAAGTTCTTCAATTCTGTTTTTCTTTTTCAAAATTGGCTAATCTAGATCCTTTACATTTCCATATAGATTTTAGAATCAGCTCATTGATTTCTACAGAAAAGCCTGCTGGGATTTTGATTGAAATTGTATAAAATTTGTAGATAAATTTGGAGATAATTGACATTCTAACAATATCGAGTCTTTCAATTCATGAACATAATGTCTCTCCTGTCATTTAAGATTGCTTTTTTTAGCAATATTTTGTCACTTTTAGTACATAGACCTTGTACATATGTTGTTAAGTTTATCTATTATTTCATTTTTTAATGTTTTAGTTAATAGAATGTTCCATTTCATTTCCAACTATTCATTGCTACTATGTAGAAATACAACTGGCTTTTGTATATTGACCTTGTATCCCGCAACCTTGCTAAACTTACTTATGAATTCTAATAGCTTTCTTGTATACTATTCCTTCCCTAGGATTTTCAGTAGTCAAGCCATTTAGGCTTGGCATTTTCTTTGTGGGAAAGATTTTAATTATGAATTCAATTTCTTCAATTGATAGAGAGCTATTCAGGTTTTTATTTTGTCTTGTATTCATTTTTATAATTTATATCTTTCCAATTATTTGCCTATTTCATGACAGTTGTTGAATGTATCAGCATAAAATCAACATAAATGTATCCTTTATTGCTCTTTTAATGTACCTAGAATCTGTGCTGATAACCCTTTCTTCATTCCTGATATTTGTAATTTATTTCTTTTCTCTTTTTTTCTTGACTGGGAAAGCTCGAAATTTATCAATGTTTTTGGTCTTTTCAAAAAACTAGTTGGTTTCATTCATTTTCTCTCTTGTCTGTCCACTTTCTATTTGGTAGATTTCTACACTTCTTGATTATTTTCTTCCCTCTATTTATTTTTGGGTTCAACTTGTGCTTCTTCTTATAGCTTCTTTAGGTAGAAACTTAGATAATTGATTTTAGTTTTTCCTTCATTTCTAATATGTTGTTAAAGCTCTACATTTCCCTCTATACACTTTGTTAGCCACATTCCACAAAGTTCATTTTCATTTTATTCAAAATATTTTCTAATTTCCATTGTGATTTCTTCTTTGAATCGTGGATTATTTTGAAGTGTGTCGTTTAATTTCCTAACATTGGACAATTTTCCAGATATCTTTCTGTTAATGATTTCTGATTCTGTTGTGGTCAGACAACATTTTCTGTATGATTTCAATCCTACTGAATACATTGAGATTTGTTTTATGGGCTAGCATATAACTTATTTTGCTGAACGTTTCATATGTGCTTGAAAAAAACTGTGAATTCTACTCTTTTGGGGATGGTATAGTGTGTAAATTTTAATTAGGTCAGGTTAGTTTATAGTGTTTTTCAATTTTTCTATATACTTATCAATTTCATCAAATCAAGAAAATATTTGGCCATTATCTCTTAAAATATTTTCCTGCCCTCCCTCCACCTTTTTTTTTTTTTTTCCTGACACTCCAATTGTATGTATGTTAGACCACATAATATTGTTCCCCAGGTCACCAAGGCTCTGTAAATTTTTTATGTTTTTTCTCACTGTCCTCTGGCTTGGTAATTTCTATGGCTATGTCTTCAGGGTCACTGATCCTTTCTTCTTCAGTGTCTAATCTACTTTCAAGCTCATCTTTTTAATTTTTTATTGTTGATGTTGTATTTTACACTTTGGCATTCCATTTAGTTCTCTTTTTTATTTTCCATTTCTCTGCTCATTATGTTCATGTTTTCCTTTAAATCTCTAAAATACTTACAGTGGTTGTTTCAACTACCTTGTCTGCTAATTCTATCAACTCTGTCATTTTTGGGTTTGTTCTTATAAACTGTTTTATCTCTTGGTTATAGGTGACATTTTCCCCTTCTTCATGTGTCTAGTAATTTTTTATTGAATGCTGGACTTTGATAAAACAATACTGTAATGCTGTTGAACATTGTACTTCGTCTCCTTCCTTTAAAGAGTGCTGCACCTTGTTCTGTCTGGTAGTTACTACCTGTGGATTGGCTTGATGCTTTCAGTGCTTCTGAGCTTGTTTTAAAGTTTTATTAGGACAGGTCTAGAGAAGCCTTTACTCTTGGGCAGGTTTAGCACAACTATTCAGATGTCACTCCTCTGGGGTCTGCACTAAATGCCTCTGGTATTCAGCAAGGTCACTCTAGTTGTCTGGAGCTCTGATGTCTCTCAGTCTTGGGTAAGCTCTCATAACTGTTCACCTTTCAGCTCCGTGATGGTTCTTGTCCAGGCTCGTGGGGTTCTGAGCTCTGGATGAATGGCTTAGTATTCAGCAGTGAACCCAAGGGAACCTCGTGGAGTTTGTCTCTGTATATCTCCTTCTCCTGTGTCTGCTCCACAAATTCCAGCTGCCTCAGCCTCCTTGTACTCTGATTCCTACCTCTTCAGTTGGGCAAAATCACCATGTTGTTGGTATTCCACTCTGTGTGCTGCAACCTGGAAACTCTCTCAGCCCATGAGCCGGGGAAGTCTCAGGGTTCACTTCTTTTGTTTCTCTTCTTTCAGGGACCCACATTCTGCACCGTCAGTTGTCCAATGTCTGAAAACAGGTGCCTCATATCTTTCATTTCATTTTCTGGTTACTTCAGGTGGGAGATAAGTCAGGTTCATCACAGCCCAAAGCAAAGCCTGACCCTAGTTTTTGGGAACTCTGTTTCTCATCCAGCCTGATCCCTTGCTTCCCTCTTTGACTACTCAAATCTTCCCTGACTCTGAAACTGAATCCGTCTACTTCCACTCCGGTAAAGGCTCCAGCTAAACTCAAGCCCAACCTGAGACATACCTGCTGCCCCAGGACTGGCCCATGCAGCCAACATTCTCCAAGTAGGGACTCGAACAGTGGGTCCTGGAGAGACATGAGAAACCTCAGCCTAACTTCTAGGGGGCTCTGGGCTCCATGAGAAACATCACCAACCCCCCATCCACCCCAGGTTCCGTGGTGTCCCATTTGCACAGAACCCATGGTAAATATGTCTGTGGAGAAGAAGTTACAAAGTCAAATCAAGGAAAAGAACCATTCAGTGAATAACAGTACGAGAGGGGGAAAGATGAACCCAAGATGGCTCCAAATGGCCAAATGGCTGCAAAGCCCACCCCCACCCTCTGTCGTCCAGTCGGGGCCCCTGGGAGCCACAGGAAACCACACAAATCCCTGCAGGACGGCAGAGTGCTGTGTACAGAGGGGAAACGTGGACATGCGGTCAAGCTGAAGACTAACAAACAATAGAGACACACAGATCTCAGTGCTGTGCTCAGAGTCAGGGGTATTTATTGGTCAGTTTGCTCAAGTGCGTCCAGAGAAGGCTTAGGGTCACTGAGCTGAGGGGACAGAGACACCGTGGGTGGAGGCTGAGCTGACCCTGAGGTGTGGTAGATATGGAGGAGGGGCCACTGCCATGAGGACTTGCTAGGAGCCCCCTCCAGGGCCGCAGAATTGAGTATGGGTGCCCTGTGCTTCCACATCATCCAGCTGTGATGGATGCAGGAGCAGACTGAACCACAGACGTTAGGAAATGGTCTGAGTGCTGGAGCAATTCAGGATGTGGCGGTCAGCTTCCAGGTAGGACCTGACCCCGTCCCAGGTAGGGGCAGCCACGTGACACAGGTCAGGACCAAACTGAGGAGGGGCTAGGAGGGCCACAGTCCGGGGGGAGACCTGGAGCCCGGCTGGCCCTGAGGGCCGTGCCCAGTCAGCAGCAGGACTTGTGGGCCGAGGCAGGGCCGCAGCAAGCCACGCGGGAGCACACAGGGCGGCAGAGCAGGGACACGCAGGAGGCTGGGCGGCAGCAGTTGGGCTGGCGGGAGGCGGGGGCACAGCAGGAGGAGACGGGCACGCAGCAGGCGGGCCTGCACACAGGGCGGCAGATGAGGGACACGCAGGAGGAGGGTCTGCAGCAGGACGGGGGACAGGGGGTGGGCTGGCAGCACGAGGGGGCTGGGCAGGGGGCGGCCCCAGAGCAGACAGGTCTGCAGCAGATGGGCACACAGCAGTCCTGCTGGCAGGGGGAGGAGGTGCAGCAGGAGGGCTGGCAGCTAGACTGCTGGCAGCATGAGGGGTCTGAGCAAGGGGAGGTCCCAGAGCAGATGGGCACACAGCTCACAGGCTTGCAGCAGACAGGTGTGGAGCAGATGGGTGTGCAGGAGACGGGCACAGAGCAGGATCGCTGGCAGGGGGAGGAGGTGCAGCAGGAGGGCTGGCAGCTAGACTGCTGGCAGCAGGAGGGTGTGCAGGAGCTGGTGCAGGCTGACTGGCAGGGGCTGCACACACAGCTGGCTGGGGTGCAGAGGAGGGTCAGGCAGGGGGCCGGGGCGCAGCAGCTGGGGGCGCAGCAGGGGGGCTCGCAGCAGCTCTCTGGGCAGTCGTCCACCTGCCGGGAGCAGCTGGGGCAGGAGTCCCAGGACCCGGGCTGGCAGACCCGGCTGCCGTAGCTCAGGTCGCTGGAGCAGACGGACAGGGTGGAGGCGGCCATGGTGGGGCGGTGGGGCTGGAGGAGGGTGTGAGTGTGTGAGTGTGTGAGTGAGTGTGTGAGGTGCTGGGGGCCGTCAGCTTTTATACCCGTCCAAGGCTGAGGCTATGTTTGCCCCGCACACGGCTCACCACGCCCTCCCTTCCTTGTTGCTGTTGGGATCCGGGTCCTGGAGAACAAACAGAAGCTGTTTTATTTCCAGGAGTCATGGCTCAGCTCCCAACACTCTTGAAATTGGCTTGGAGTGTCTTTACTTGCTTTTAGTCCTAGAAAGAAAACTTGGGGTGGAGTGTAGGTTATCTTGTTTTAGCCGGTGTCACTGGGGGCCAGGGCAGAGCTCATGTCTGTGGGGTGCTAGATCCTGGCCGCTGGTCAGGGGTGAGCTGCTGTGGGTGCCCTGTTGGCTGAAGAAGGTCATGTGCTCTGTGGTTGGAAGGTCACAGAAGAGGTTTTTTATAGATAGAGAGAACGTGAGTCACGACTTGTGTGCAGTACGGGGTCAGTGTCCTGGGGCTGTCATAGCAAAGCTCCACGGACAGGCCGGCTCACACAACAGAAATGTATGCTCTCACAATTCTGGAGGCCAGAAGTCCCAGATCAAGGCGTCGGCAGGTTGGTTCCTTCTGAGGCTGTGAGGGAGGATCTTCCCAGGCTCTCCCTCAGCTTCTGGTGGTTGCTGACAATCTTTGGCGCTCCTTGGCTTGTGGAAGCGTCACCCCGATCTCTGCCTCCATCTTCACATGGCATTCTCCCCGTGTGCATGTCTGTGCCCAAATTTCTCCTTTTTATACGGGCACCAGTCAGATTGGATTCAGGCCCACCCTCATGACCTTGTCGTAACTTGATCACCTCTGCAAAGACCCTATTTCCAAATAAGGTCACATTCTCAGGGCCTGGGGGTTCGGGCAGCAGCCTCCTTTTGGGGACATAATTTAACCCATGACAAGTACCTGCTCTGAAGCACACACATGCCAGAGTCTGGGACAGAGGGAAAGCTGAGCAGGTCTCCTTTCCTGGGACTCCAGTCTGCAGCAGGTGAAGGATGGGTGCCGGTGGCACGTGGAGTGACAGGTCGGCAGCACATGCACGTCTTCTGCTCGCCCAGGCACCGCTTGAGCTCACGGGATAATATTTTTTAGTTTATTTTATGGAATAATCATAAAAAGAGTATAGAGAATTCACGTGTCCCTCACCCAGCTTCCTCTAGTGTTAACATCTGTGTAACCATAGATCAATTTCCGATTCTTAGAAATCAGCGTTGGTACATTACCATTCACGCAAGGACAGACTGTACTCAGATTCACCAGTTCCCATAAATGTCCTCCCTGTGTTCCAGGCCCCCAAGCTGCATTTGTCAGCCTCCTTGGTCTTCTCTAGTGTGGGACAGCTGCCCAGTTTCCTCGTCCTCTGTGACCTTGACACTTTTGAAGAGCACTGGTCAGGCATGTTGCAGAACGTCCCTCACTTTGGGTTTGTCTGATGTTTTCTCATGATTAGACTGGGGCTGTTACATTTTGGGGAGGAGCCCCACAGGACTCATGTGTCCAAGTGAAGCAGTGGTTGTTGCAACTTATCAGTGGGGATGTGTCTATTTTTCCCTTTATAATAATGAATATTTGGGGGAGATTGAGACTTGGCAAATATCCAGTTTCTGCGGATTTGCCCACTGGTCTTGGCGCCCCCTGGGGATTGTGCCTGCAACCATGGTTACTGTGGTTACTGTGTGGTCCCATGGTGATTTTCCCCCTCCACATTCAATCTCCATTTATTGATTAAAACTCTTCTGTAAGGAAGAGCTGTTCCTTCTCCTCCATTTCTATATTTATTCTATTTATTTCAATATGATCTAAAGAATATTTATTTTATTGAGTTATACTACAATATTATCATTATTTATTTTGTTATTTAAATCATTCCAACTTTGACCATTGGGACCTCTTCCATTTGGTTCTTGGACCCCTTCGGCATGCCTTCACTCCCCGACTTCTCACTTTCTGCACCAAGCTCATCTTGAATTTTCTTTACCCCATCCTTGGAATCAACCACTTCTCCAAGGAGCCCTGGTCCTTTTAGTGAATGATGGCATTTAGATACCAAGATCTGGAGCTAGGTGTGCTCATTGCTACTGGGCGTCACTGCTCCCAGGCCCCCCGGTGGGTAGAGCAAGGAGGCATATGTATGTGTACCAGCACGTGCCTGCACTTAGGGGGACACATTCAGTCTTTCACTGTTAAGGATCATGTTAGCTGCAGTTTTTTTCTAGATTTGCTTTCTCAGGCTAAAAAATTCCGTTCCTTGCTGAGGGATTTTATCATGAATGGATGTTGGATTTCATGAAAGGCTTTTTAGGCACCTGTTGAGATGATCACATAGATTTCTTTTTAAGTCTGTTAACACGATGACTTACATTAATTGATTTTTTAAACTTTTTGTTTTGAAATAGGTATAGAGTCACAGGAAATTGCGAAGCTAGTGTAGAAAGGTGCTGAGTACCCACACTGATTGATTTTTGTGTGTGTGTGAGGAAGATCAGCCCTGAGCTAACATCCATGCTAATCCTCCTCTTTTTGCTGAAGAAGACCAGCTCTGAGCTAACATCTATTGCCAATCCTCCTCCTTTCTTTTCCCCAAAGTCCCAGTAGATAGTTGTACGTCATAGTTGCACATTCTTCTAGTTGCTATATGTGGGACGTGGCCTCAGCATGGCCGGAGAAGCGGTGTGTCAGTGCGCGCCTGGAATCCGAACCCGGGCCGCCGGTAGTGGAGCACGCGCACTTAACCACCAAGCCACGGGGCCGGCCCCCTGGGTGATTTTTGAATGTTGAAGCAGTCTTGAATTCCTGGATAAACTCCGCTTGGTTGTGATGTTTTGTCCTTTTTATACATTGCTGGATTTGATGTGCTAATCTTTTATTCAGGATTTTCATGTCTGTGTTCATGATGATATTGGCCTGTGGTTTTCTTTTATTGGATCATCCTTGGCTGATCACAAGAGGAGTTGGCAAGCATCTGCTCCTTTTCTATTTTCTATAAGAGACTGCAGACAGTTGGCATTTGTCTTCTTTAAATGTTTGGTAGAGTCTTCTAGGAAACCAGAGTTTTCTTTAATAGATACAGAACATTCCAGTTATTTGTTTCTTCTTGAATGAGTTTCGGTTGCCTGTGCCTATGGAGGAGCTGGTCCATTCCATCTAAGGTCTTGACTGACAGGCGTCGTGTGGTTTGTAGAGTTCCCCCGTTATCCTATTAATTTCTGAAAGATGTTTAGTAATATCCCATTTTTTGTTGTTGATATTGACAAACTGTTTCTTCTTGCTTTTTCCCCTGGTCAGTCTGGCTGGAAGTTTATCAATTTTCTTCATCTTCTCCAGGAACCAGCTTTGGTTTTGCTGACTTTTTCTTTAGTTTTCAGTTACCTTGATTTCCACCTTGTCCCTCCCTCTGCCTGCTGTGGGTTTCATTTGCTCTTCTTTTTCAAGTTTCTTCAGTCGAAGTTTAGCTGGTTGGTTTGACATTTTTCTTCTTTCCGAATGGAAGCCGTGAGTACTATGAAGTTCCCTCTCCTTTCGCTGCGTCCCACAATGCTCTCTGTGCCCACGGTCCTGGTCTATAACCCGAGGCTTTGAATGAGCTGATCACCACGGTCCTGTCTGGCTCCGATTCCATGATTCCTGGATCCAGTACTCATGTTCTAAGGGTGAGAGAGTTGGTGAGGACCCACACGCAGTGGGATTTGACAGCAGGTAAACCGCTAGGTGTAAGTGGTTGGAGTTCCACATCCTGCAGCCTGAGGCTGTTGCAGCTGGAATCCCCCGTTCATGTTTTCACTCACCAGAAGGACATGAGATAAGGGAACAGGGAAAGCTGGCTGGGTGGCAGGGATAATCATGCCTGGCAGGAGAAAGCGGTGTTTTCATTGTAAAGGTCCCCTGGGGGCAGGGACTTCCCCTGCCTCTTCACTTCTCCCCCTCTGAGCTCCTGGCAGAGGAGGGCAGGAGGAGGCATCTGGGATCAGTGGAGGTGCATTCTGTGGGAGGGCAGCTGAGCATCCTGTCCTGGAAGAGCTCGGATCAAACCCCCGGTCCCGTGCCAGCTCTGCCGTCTGCGTGATGCACGCACGGTCTTGCACATCCTGAACGTCCACATGCCCAGCGAGGCCAAGCAGTTGGTGTACCTAATGGACAACATTCAAGAAAGGCGAGAAAAGGTTCTGGTTTTGAGCCGGCAAGCATGGGGCCAGCAGATGGACTGGTTCCCACTCTGTGTGTGGACTTCTCTGCATCAGCTGTAAGGCGCCCCTGGATGCCCTATAGCCCACTTACGTAAAGTCAACTTAACATCAGCTGTTTTCCAGCGGCATGGATCTTACTCAAGAGGCCTGCTCAGCCAGCCTGGCAGCCGCCTTCCTGCAGGCACAGACCCTCCCGCAAACTCAGGCGGGAGTTAAAACTGGACCTAAAAGGGGCCCAGCACCGGGTTGACTGCATTGTAAGGGACGGGCAGTCCATCTCCAATCTAGTCATTGTGAGGCAGTCCATTTTGGGGGAGCAACTTCTGCCTGCCACACAATATTTCCAATCCCTCCCACAGCCCTACGAGAAAGGGGGTGCCATCTCCTCTTGCTGATGTGGAGACCGAGCCTCTGAGAGGTCAGTTACAGAGGCTGCAGACGCAGCAGGTCCCAGGAGAGGCCACGGTCCTTGCTGCACCCTCTGCTTGGCCCTTTGGACAATGTCGTGCATTCTGAGAACCCTCGACTCCGAGGAGCTAAGGCGGACTTTGGAGGTTGACTGAAGGAGTGGATGTGTATGGGTTTAAAAGCATTGATGTGTGTAAAGGGCTTAGCCCGGGCCGGCCCAGGGAGCACTCTGTTTGAGTTTGCTGGGATATTGTTGGTGTCGCTGCTATTTCGGTGCCTCCTCTGTAGCTTCAGTGGCCTGATCTCCACGTTGCTTTTGGCTTTCCAGGCTGTGGACACACCCCCGCTGCAGCCCCAGAGAGCCCGGTGCTCCATTCAAAGCCCCGCGGGGCATGCTTTTTCCACATCCCTCGACTTCCTTTAAAAC